TTAGTCGTTTCAAAGGCTTTCCTGATGCAACTTGGAAATTTGACAACCCTTTCTACACACTAGGGACCTTTAGCAGGCTTGAATAAGTCATTTGACGTGCATGTGAAAAACCTGGCGTTCTCCGTGGGATTCGAACCCACATAAAAGTTTCTGTACATCCAGCATTCTGACCAACTCCTCCCCCAATATTTATTTGCGTGTGGTAGTCATCTGATGGTTTCTAGATTAATTGCTGAGGAAACCCCAAGTGGGCAGTCAGCTAACTCTATCAAATTGGACACATTCCATACGTAACAGGAGGCTTATCAGTCTGCTTTAACACACGGGTGACTATGAGAACCACGTAGCTCACTAGGCTAGAGCCTTGGGTGCACTTAAGCCTTCCGCTTTCCACTGTCAGCTCGAATTCAAGCGTAACGGCAGAGTTTATCACAACTAGTTCAACGGAACCTTTACTACAGTCTAGTACGTATCAGTTGGAAGAAAAACACACTCTGTCAATAATGCATCAGACGGACACCGTTAACACTTTTTTGCCCCACATATCAGGCGCTACAAATAAAATAGGATATCCCTCGAACAGATCGACTTCAGCACAATCATCTTCCTGTCTGTCTGTTGGACCTGTAGACAGCACACATCATGGCCAGACCCATAGCTGTAAATGAGGATGTTCAACGCTACTCCGTGTTTTATAACAACCCCGAAGGACACATACAGTATCAGAAAGCACAATGAAAGTTATGCAGTGTTGCTGGGATGGATTTACTTTAGGGCGGTAGGGTTAAGATGTGGCTAAAGGGTTCAGTTGATAACTGGCTTAACAAATGCTTTCTGCAACTAAGGAGAATACGTACCAAAGGCATACAGTCGGTTCTCCAGTGCCAACAGTGAAAAGGTGTCTCGCGGTTCACTCATCCGCTGTACAACCGTCCAGTAACCAGCTCCAATGTCGTCTTTCGGTGCTTCAAAGTACTCCACACTCTGCAGGATTGTATGTTGGCTGTCTTCACCGCCAGCAGCGAATACACGACCGTGGAGGACGCAGGCACCGGAGGACGCGCGAGCCTCATGCATAGGTGCTAGACGATGCCAGAAGGGGTGAGACGCGACTGATGCGTTGGCGCTCCAGTCATCGGTTGGAAGTACGAGGCATTCCACCAGAGTCAATGCAGCGTCTTCTGTACAACCACCTAGAAGGAGGACACGCCCATTTTCGAGACTAACCATTGTCGCTCCGCGACGGGCCGTCTGTGAACTGGGTAGTTGTTTCCACCTGCAGGGAGTTTATTTACTTTACAAATAAATCTTTCAAAGGGACACAGTAGTCAGGGTCACTATGCTCTAACGAACTTCACCAGCAATTCTGCTACATCAGTGGCTCCCATCGCTTCCCAAAAGAGGAACATCAGCAAAAAATTCATTTGATCCTTTAATTCTCTGGCTGTTGGATGCTGCCTCTGCAACAAGAAGTCCGGAGAGGAATGTTTCAGTTGGTGAATTCGGAATCCCATCAGGCAGTGTGTAACTGCCCTTGTATGTTTATACCGTACCCGGAACGTTGCATTTTTACTTCCACGTGTGAATTTTGTTACAAATAGTCTATTAAAAACTTACAAACATGTATGCAAGTCTTTCACAAGAATTATTAGACTTTTGCTCGTTTGTCAGGCGGGGGTATATTCATGGGACTCCCAACACTGTGATAATTTTTACAATGCAACTATAGAC